ATGGAACTAGCTAGGGCTCTAGTTGTCGCTGTCAGGAAACGATGAAATGACGCAAGAGCTTACGTTGTACTGTGTCAGAAACGCCGATCGAACCGAAAAACACCGCGCAGATCTTGTGAGGCCGTAAACATGGGCAAGTTCTATCCGATGATGTTGGGAGAGAGGTTGGACAAGAAGCTCATGCTGGTTTGTGAAGAAAAGGATATGCACGAGCTGGTCGGACAGATATGTCTGTGTACGATGTCAATCTTCAAAATGAGTTTTGATTGTCGTCCACAGGAGAGTTTCTGATCAGTTCAAATTTCAATGCATGGACCACAGGGCTGTGCTTGATTAGTGTTCTTTTTCCTCTTTCGACTGAAGCATGAATAAAAAATGTGAGGATATGTTTCATTGGTTTTGTGAAACTACTTCAGATGTCTGTCAGAAGATTAGATGCACGATTAAAAATCAATATATGTTTTATTTTTCCTTTTGGTCGGGAATGCTCCCCCCGCCCCCGCCAAAGTTCCATTTAATTAAACAAAAAAATTAGGGGAATTGATAAGAAGTTCATAAAATCATGAGATTAAATTTAACTATTAATATAAAAAAAATTTTAGTATATAATCTATAAATATTTTTATAAATATTTTTTAAACTTAAAAGCATGTCTTAATTCTGATGAAACTTCAAGATCCAATTGACCTAAATTTATGTTTTAAAAAAATACCATTGAATTTAATTTTATTATAAAAAATTAGGATCATACTTATTTGAATTGAAATAATTATATATATAATTAATTTCTCTTTCGCCTAAATATTTTTACATCCAAGAAAAATAAAATATTTAATCTTAACCAATAGGTGTTAGTCTTAGTAAAATGAACTACAACCAATTTGAGCATGAGGTCTCTTGAATTTGAATCCATATGAATCTAGAAATTGTTTTTAAGAAAGTTACTCTCAATTGGACTCAATAATGCTCGAATGTGACCTGATCATATAGTTATATTAAAAAACTAATCTTCTTAAGGTTAGTCTAGTTAATAAGAATCTAATTCATAACTCATAAAGTTGTTGGAATACTTTATTAAAAAATGATCTATAAATACCTCTTATATAGTTATTCTATAAGCCTAGAGAGGCATGCTCGAACTCTAGTAAGGCTTTAGAATCCAACCTATCTAAACAATAATTTTAAACCAAAAAATACTTAATTTTAATTGTAAATTAGTGTAATTACAAAAATCGGGATAACAGTTATTAAAAAAGCATATTCACGAAATTAAAGGTGAATTCTTTTAATTTCAATGTGTAAAAACGTTTGGTCTTTTCAACTCTAACACGATAAGACTATGGGGTCCAATAATAACATGACAGGGTGTAGTTTTCTGCAAACAAGTGTACGATTCTTCAAGTAAGATAAAGATATCAGATTAATCCCAATACGAGACCAAGGCCTGCTTAAATATCAATAAAGAACTGAATGACCCAATAAAGTTCAAATTTGCTGGAAAACAGTAGGAACAGAGAAAATCAACTAGATATGTTTTCACAAAGGATAAAGAATTAATGGTTTATATTACTACCAGCAGTGAGATTTGTTAATATTTTATGTTTTATATTAAACTAAAATAAGTTTAGTGGGTTACATATATACATAAATAAATAAAGTCTATGTTGGAAAAGAGCGTGTTAAATGTTATACTACTCCATTATTCACCAAAAAGAAAATGTTCTGCTCCACTAGTAAAATACGAGTAGAGGATTAGCTATTCAAAGTTGAATTTTTTTTTTCTAAGTTAAAAAGTGAAAGGGATTATTTTCACATGATCAATTAATATAATATATTGCTAAATATATTTAAATAATATTTTAAGAAAAGATAATACATCGTGCCAATCGGGCTAGACATACAACGCAGGCTTCACGTGCATGTACTTTATTTTCTGACCTTGTCCCCAACAAGAAATGAGACTAAAACTAACAATCAATATTAGATAATCACATCTACTTCAAACAGATCGATGATGGTTAGACTTGTTAAGAACCGTGTATTGCTTGAGTTTAGTTATCATAAATTACTCGTTAAGGAAACTAGACAGTAACTTAATTTGTTTCTATTATATAACACACATGTAACCGCCTCACTGTAATAAAAAAAAGAGTTAAGAAAACGAGCACCATCTTGTATAATGCTTTTTATTATTCATAGTTCTTTTTATTAGATACAATTTTATTTTTATTAGATATAATTTTATTTGAAGTACAGTCAGGTATTAAATATAAATTTTTTTTCAACAAGTATTTAGACCAATTGATTTACCATGTTATAAAAAACTAATCTTTTTCATTAAACTCAACCCTGTTGGTCACTAACTTGTATTATTTATTACTATGAAATGTTGGATAAAATTCAATATACGAGACTATACATGTAAATATTAAAAATTAATGTGTGATCATTATTATAATTTAGAATAAAGTGGTCAATTTTTTTAAAAAATTAATTAGACTTAAGGGGTGTAGTTATTATAAAATTAATGTGTAGAAATCAGTGATATTTATAATTTATTTAGGAGTTAAATTGGAAATATAACAAATTTGAATCTGTGAACAGGAGTCATGATCCTCGGGTACGGCATAACAATAAACTAATTCTTTGACTCTTTCTAGAAGATCACGGTATGGATTTTTTTTCCCGTAAATTCATATATGGTTTAACATTAATTTAATTTCTTCTATTCCCCTAAATTGATATAGGGTTATATTTAAATTTTGAGAATTTGGTTGCAATCATTGTCATGGTTTGGGTATTAATTTTATTGATTAGTAACACAATCAATTCCAATATGAAACCCACTAATATGGTAAATTACAGTTGTCAATAAAACAAATATTTTTAAAGAATAACAGAGAGAGATAAAGGATGTAATCTGAGACAAGTCACGTCACACCTGAAAAACGGAGGAAGTGTAAAATGAAAGGGAAAAAAACGAAAGTAAATTGATTAAGAAAAAAGTCTGTAAAGGGGATTAAAGAAATGTGGCTCACAGACTTTGGTTCAGATATATAAAATTGAGTTGACATTTCATTGAAGAAGCCGTTTAAATTTTCATTTGAATATAATAAATTATAAAAATAATTAATTAAGTGATAAATTTTAATTATAATTAATTATGTTATAATGTAATGTGTTTAGATACTATTTTTTTAAAATTAATTTTAATAGAATTGAAGATGTTTGAATAATTTAATTAAAATTAATTTTTAACTATATAAATTACTATATAATTTAATATTTAAATACTAGATACTAATTTTTTGAAAATAAAAGTTTAACTTTTATTAAGAAAAAAAAAAAAAAAAGAAGAAGTTTAATTTTATTTTTATTAAGTTATGTGTTATTTTAAGCTTTTGAAAAAACGCACCTTTTGGCCCATCATTAATTTTTGATTATTTTCGATTGTTTGATAATTGGCAGAAAAAATTAATTTTAAAAGTTCAAAATGTGCGTTTTTTTACTTATCCAAACAGGCACAAAGAAAGGGAGAATGATACAGGAGTTTTTAAAAAAAATAATTAATTTAACTTATTTATAATCAAACTTTAAGGATTTGTAAGTTTTTTTTAATTTTATAATTTTATTGTGATGAATTTATAATTTATTTTTTAAATTTTAATATGGTTGAGGAATAAAAAAATTTATTTTATCTACTAACATTTGAGACATAGGTTGTAAATTTATCCCAATAAAATTATAAAATTAAAAACTGAATTTACAAATTTTTAAAATTTAATATTTAGAATTTAAGTTAAATTAATTAGTTTTTGGGACCTCTTAATCGTTCTCCCAAAAAGAGGTTCCAAAGGCAGAATTCACCCTAACAAATATTAGAAAGCATTATTTTATTTAATATTAATTTTATCAAATGAAAAATATAAAATAAGTTAAAGATAATTTTTGTACTATCACTTTCTCAAAAAAAAATATTATTAAAAAATTATAGATTAAAAGCTTTAAACATAGCATCTAATTATTGGAACCTAATGGCTGTTCAAGCTCTCTTCTTCTGGGGAAAATAAAATATATCGTATACTCTCTGTTCTTATATAAAAGTTTTTTAGAAGCTTATTTTATCCCTAAATATAAGGAGTGGCAATGATATTTTTAAGTAATTAAATAATTTTATCCTTGTCTTAGAAAATAAAATAGATCATTAGTGGTATGTTTTCCCTACCACCATTATGATATTAATTATGATATTATTAAGGGTAAAATTGAAAAATTATTGTGTTTTTATGTGAGTTTAACTAAATAATAAACCTTTATTGATATATGATTGGATTAAAAAATTTTATATATAGGGATGAGAGAGTATATCTTGTCATGGCCAGGTAGAAGTTTTAATTTGGAATAGAAAATAAAAAGTCCTTCTTATGATAAAAAAGATCCTAATTAACGAATGTTTCGCCTCTACTTGTCAGTATATATGTATTGTGATTTTTTTTTTACGGAATTGATAGTTTCATAAAAAAAAGGGCACAAGCACAACAATATGCCTAGCTATATCTTCTATAATGTATAGTTTTCTTGCATGGAAAAAAAAAATGCCTAGCAATCAATGACTGCTGCTAAAAATGTATATTAATTAATTGAATTAATAAATATTCATTTAAGTTTTAATAATAACTTATTTTAAATTAACAACAGTTCATTCAAGCATATTTTTTAATTAACTTTTGACAATTGATCCTGACTGATATAAATTTTTTAGCAATCCTTGATTGCTATTTTTTCAAATAAAAAAGTCCAAGGAAGATCTATTTGGAGAAAGTAGAAAGATCCATCCGATGAGCAACACGCACACATCTCGAGTACTATAGATAGTTACCTTCCAAAGTTTTTATCAAGAGATACCTTCAATTACTGTGTAATATACCTTAAAAATGGGCCACACTAATTATATTTGTATAGCATCAGTGCTTTCGAATGACTGGAAGATACATTAGAAATGGATTCATTAGAATGACTTTATTAAGAGATGATATAGACATAAATGATGAAACAGCAATGGTTCTGATTTCTAACATGGACCTCCCATGAAATTAAAACGCTACTGTTGCTTGAAAATTTAAAGCGTTCCTATTTCAAGGATGCACACAAAATTCACCAAATATATATAGGAACCAATCAATCAAACAAATTCCAGACGTCCCCCAAAGCTAATTAATTAAGTCATGCGTTTGGTCTAAGTTTGTGGCTCAGCTTCTGGTTCATGATCTTCAACCTACATATGTGACAAGTTGTGTTTACATATGTCTTCAATAAGCAGTGATAAATTAAGATAAGAAGATCCACCTTTCTGCATTGCCTTGTTTGCTTTCTCCGCAAAATTCCTCGCTCTTTCTCTTATCCTCTCACTTTCTTCATCTTCTTCACCCATCACTTTCTCTATTGCCTCCTTCACTTTCTCCTTCTTCACTTGAACCCCATACTTTTCTTCTTCCCCAAAATGAACAGCATTCTCAACTCCCAACCTCACACCTATCTCCAACAACTGCACTGCAACCTTCTCATTATAAAACTGTTCTGCAAATTGAGGGTATGTTATTAATGGCACTCCACTGCATATCCCTTCAAGTGTAGAGTTCCATCCACAGTGTGTTAAGAATGATCCTATTGCTTTGTGTGACAGTATCAGAACTTGGGGCATCCAACCTCTTATTATCAGTCCTCTTGCTTTCACTCTCTCCTCCAATCCATCTTCCTTCAAAAGCTTCTCCATTTCCTCTGTTTTGTATGAACATCTCAGAACCCAAATGAATGGTCTCTTTGTGGCCTCCAGTCCCAAACCAAGCTCCATCAATTGTTCTGGTGTTACACGGTTCAGGCTTCCAAGGCAGACATAGATGACAGATCTTGCAGGGCATGAATCAAGCCACTTCAAACAGTGTCCTTCTTCTTGGTTGGAGTCTGTGTTTCCTCTCTGAGCCTTATCCATGTCGTCCTTGTTTGAGATCGAGACTGGCCCGACACACCAAACCTTTCTACCTGTCACTCTTCTATACTCCTTCACGTATTCATCTTCCAGCTCTTCAAAGCTATTCACTATCATCCCACATGCTGCTTCTTCTGCTTCCCTTATTTTCTCACGTAAATCACCCAGCTGTTGACCTCTGTTAACTGTAAACAACTCTGGAAGCTGAGATTTCTTAAATACGATTCTATGTGGTAATCCGGGGACAACGAATGGTTCTGATTTGGAGACGTTCTCATATACTTTAGATTTATAGAGACTTCGATTACATAATAGAGTGAAACAGTTTGTACCATCGAATGTGATTCTGGGAACTTTGAGCTTCTTGGCAATATCAGCTACAAATGGAAGATGCTTGTCAAATATTATGCAGGTTGGAGTGGGACTAAGCTCTTCGAAGAGTTGCTCAACAGGATCCTGCAACATACACAAAGCTTTCGTAAAGTTGACTAAAAGATCAGTGGAAGGTAGAGTGTCTAAGCTCTCACAACCCTCTGGTAAACCGGCCTCAGCATTTGGGAACCGAAAAAGCTGAAATGTGATCGATGAGCCAGATTTTCTCTCTCTATCGATGTTTGCTCGAACTCGAATGGCATTTAGAGGTGTGGTCATTATGGTGACCTTCACATTTCGTCGAGCCACCAGCCTAGCCAAGTCCCCCATGGGAAGAAGATGACCTGGAGCCATTAAAGGTATCAAAACAAAGTGAAGCTTATCAAGTTCTGTCAGAGTTTCCATGGCGACGCAGAGATATATAGTGGGATTTGATTTGAACTTGACAGACAGAATGTTTATGAAGGCCGAGTCATCTGGGTGTTATATGTATTCATGCAGGGTTATGCGGTCGTCGCTGTTATGAAATGAAAAAATGACGCAAGTGCTTACGTTTTTCTGTGAAAGACGCGTAAACTGAGGACCACATCAGATCATGCTGACTGTGTACCCTCGATGTATGTAATACAAGGAAGTTCTATCCAGTGATGTCGGGTGAAATATGGCGGAGAATTCCAAATGACTCTTGCGAAAGGGATATGCTTGAGCTAGTTTGGCCACACGTCTCTGTCTCTGTACGATTCTGATCTTCATCTTCAAATCAAAATGAATTTTCATTGAGCCTGTGAGTTGTGACTTTCATTGCATGCATGGACCACGAACAGTGTTGTTCTTCTTTTTCCTGTTCTGATTCAAGGAGGAATAATAAAAATATGTGAGCGTGCATGTTCTGCTGCTGGTTTCGTCCCAAACCATACAGATTTCTGTCAAATCTTAATCTTGTTATTTGAAAACCTACAATTACTTTTATTTCATCTGAAATAATCTTGTATTTATTAATGAAAATAACGATAAAATAATTACTACAGTATGTATATTTCGACCAGGTTAAAATAGTTAATTTTGTGATAAAAATTAACGCAAGTATTTCTGTAATTGTTTAATAAGTTCTTTAAAGATTAATAATTTTTGGAAATAAATTAAAATTTGAAATCTACTATAAAATAAATTAAATAATTAAAGATATATTCTTTCATATTTTTAATAGGTAAAAACCATCAGATTTTTTAATTACAACGTGATAATTAAGAGTATGGATGTCTAATAATAACTTCACAGAGTACAGTTTTTCCTGCGAACAATATATTCACACACACGAGAACACATATCATGTTTTAATTGGGAATCCTATTAACTTCAACACTAAGAATTGTGTGCGCGTGAATATAATTTTGATAATTCTTGAGGGTATGTTGATTATATTTTGATTTTTAAGGACAAAGTATATTTTCAAGATTTTTTTTTGTTTGAAAAAAAAATATTGTGCACCTTGAAAACACTACCATTCTTTTATCAAAATGCATATATACATGCATTTTCAAGACTAGCTAATAAGAAGGGTTCTAGCAAGCAAATTGCATTATAAATCAATTAATATAGGATCCAATTAATAAAACGGATTATTCAGACCCCAAATCTCATTAAGGCAAAAACACTTACGTTTGGTTTCATCATCAGTTTGTGGCTGATCATCAGCTTTAATTTGTCCATTATCTTCAACCTCTTATATCACATGTAGTCTTGTATATGTCTTCAATCAACAGTGACAAGTTAAGGTAAGAAGATCCATCTTTCTCCATAGCCTTGTGTGCTTTCTCTGCATAGTTCCTTGCTCTTTCTCTTATGCTCTCACTCTCTTCATCTTCTTCAGCCATCACTTTCTCTATTGCCTCCTTCACTTTTTCCCTCTTCACCTGAATCCCGTAATTGTCTTCGTCCTCCCCAAAATGAACGGCATTCTCAACTCCCAACCTTGCACCTATCTCCAGCAACTGCACTGCAACCTTCTCATTATAAAACTGATCTGAAAATCTAGGAAAGGTTATTAATGGCAGCCCATTACATATCCCTTCAAGTGTTGAGTTCCATCCACAGTGTGTTAAGAATGCTCCTATTGCTTTGTGTGACAGTATCAGAACTTGAGGGACCCATCCTCTTATTATCAGTGCTCTTGCTTTCACTCTCTCCTCCAATCCATCTTCCTTCAGTAGCTTCTCCATTTCGTCTCTTCTGTGTGATTCTCTCAGCACCCAAATGAACGGTCTCTTTGTAGCTTCTAGTCCCAAACCAAGCTCCATTAATTGTGCTGGTGTCACTCGGGTTAAGCTTCCAAGGCAGACGTAGATGACAGTTTTTGCAGGCCATGAATCAAGCCACTTCAAATATCGGTCGTCTTCTTGGTTTGAGTCTGTTTTGCCCCTCTGAGCCTTGTCCATGTCGTCCTTGTTGGAGAGAGAGACAGGACCAATACACCAAACTTTTTTCCCTTTGACTCTTTTACTTTCCGTCACATATTGTGCTTCCAACTCTTCAAAGCTATTCACTATCACCCCATATGCTTCTTCTTCAGCTTCCCTCATTTTCTCATGGAAAGCATCGAGTTCTTGGTCTCTGTTATCTTTAAACCACTGTGGAAGCTGAGATCTTTTAAACACAATTCTGTGGGGCAACCCAGGTACAACGACAGGTTCAGATTTGGGGACACTCTCATAGACTTTAGAATTATGAATATTGTGATCACATAATAGAGTGAAACAGTTAGTACCATCGAATGATATTGCTGGAACTTTGAGTTTCTTGGCAATATCAGCTACAAATGGAAGGTATTTGTCAAATATTACGCAGGTTGGAGTAGGACTAAGCTCTTCAAAGAGCTGTTCAACAGTATCCTGCAACATCCACAAAGCTTTCGCAAAGTTGACCAGAAGATCCATGGAAGGTAGAGTGTCTAAGCTCTCACACCGCTCTGGTAAACCAGCCTCAGAATTTGGGAATCGAAAAAGCTGAACTGCGATGGATGAGCCAGACTGGATCTCTCTGTCAATGATTGGTTGAACTCGAATGGCGTTCTGAGGCGAGGTCATTATGGTGACCTTCACATTTCGCCGTGCCAATAATCGAGCTAAGTCCACCATGGGAAGAAGATGACCTGGGGCCATTAAAGGTATCAAAACAAAGTGAAGCTCAAGAAGCGTCGAAGATCCCATAGCGACTCAGAGATAAATGGATTTGATATGATGGAACTTGCCAGTCAGGATGTTTGCGCTTGAGGACCGAGTCACCGAATTGCTGTGTTACATATGTACATGTAGTAGTCAGAAAATGAAATGACGCAAGTGCTTACGTATGTTGTTCTGTGACTAAACGCAGAAACTGTGGAACACATGAGCGCGCCACTGGGTACGATATGGCTTATAAAAGGCTATGGCCTGTGGATGAGATTGTTTGGCCACACATGTCGCTGTCTCAGTGTCTGTACGAGTACGATCTTCATCTTCAAAATTATGATGAGTTTTTGTTGGGATGAGAAAAGCCACGGCTAGAACGGTAAAATGATGGAAAAAAAGTGGAGAGAGCCTGGTCCAACAATCAAATCATATTTAAATTATGATAAGTTTTGATATGAACGAGCTGGTAAGTTCTGACAGGCAATGCCTGCATTTGAATTCAAAAATTAACCTAAATCCACTTGTTATTTTTAAAAAATTTAAATTTTAATATTTTTTTAATATTATATAATAAATTTTTTAAAAATTATTTAATTAAATTAAATATATTATTTTTTTTAAAATATCACACATTTTTTAGAGAATTAAATATTTAAAAATGCATAATATTTTTAATTTTTTAAAATGTAATTATTATTTTTTAAAAGTATTTTTATTGATATAATTTTATAATTATCAATAAAAATAAATATAAAAAGATAAGATTAATTAAAAAATACGTAATTATCTCATTAAAAAATGAGATTAAGTTAAAAATATTTTATATTTTTTAATAAAAAATATTATCATGTCACGTGACTACTGGTCAGTTCTTGTCTTTTCTCTTTTCTATTGAGGCTAAGAATGAAAATATGTGAGCTAATGATGATGAGCTGGTTTTGTGAATCCAATTCAGATATTTCTGTCAAAGCTTTATCACGAGAACATAAGGCGGTAGAAAACGACAAATAACGAAAAGCTAAACGGTTTGAATTTTATCATTTCTCCGTTTTTTTATTTTTTTTGGTAGAACCACGTGATATCCCAAAATTTTAGTTTAGTTTTTCTGTTTAAGGAAAATACAGTTAATTCTACGTAATCTATTTAAATTATTATATAATTTTATTCTTTTTAATGAAAAAAATAATATGATATTTATTATGTATCCAACTAGGTTAATATAGTTTTTTTTAATACAAAGGTTAATATAATTAATTTTATTAATATAGATGAAAACCATTAGACATTTGGACTTTTCAGTTGCATGATATGAATTGGCTATTTGTGATCCCAGTGATAGTAACGTGACAGGCCATAATTTTCCTCCCCATCATCATCCAAGCTTGCATCTTCATCAATCATCATCATACACATTTTTTAGTGCGCACGTGTCATTTTATTATAAACAACCTTTATTCGAGATACCATTGATGACTCCCAACATTTTATTAATTTTCATGCAATTTTATTAAAAAAGGGAGTCATCTTCATGTTTTTATTGACTAATCGATTGATTGCATATTTACGGGAGATTAAGTAAATTTGGTGATAAGCGGATAATGTTTAATACATAGGAGTATTGGGCAAATTTTCTGCGCTAATTCATGTGTTCAAAAGTGGCCCAAAGCCCAAGTTTAAGAAGGAAATTCTGAAGAAGAAAAAAATTTGTACCAATCATGTTTGTTGCAGCAAAAGTATGGACTTTAATAAAATACATAGTTTTAATGTTCAGCAAATTTTAAGGGTTTTTGGACCTATTTTCAATAGTTCTTCACTGCCAACAATTGCAAAAATGTCTTGGTTGTAGAAAAAAAATCCAGAGAAGTGAAGAAACTTAGGATTAGTGAAAAATTAAAGGATTAGCTTAAGACGGCTCCTATTAAACTCTTCTTTTCTTTATTTTGATGTATATATTGTTTAGATTTGCTATCATTAAAGTCATATGTAGCTAATTTTTTCTTAATCTATGGTTACTATGAATTGATTCTTTGATTAAAGCATGTATGAACTTTTTATTTATGCTTAATGACAGTTTTGTTTATTTAATTTTGTACTTATTTACCTACTTATTATTGGCCATCACTGAGTACAAATTTGGGGTTTTGAGTACTACTTTGGAAGAGGGAAATATAAATTGGAATATTAATTGAGTAATGTAGGATTAGAATTTATTCTAATTTGTCAATAGGATAAGAATATATCTATTGGACCCATATAGTCATATTAGAGTGAATTGGTGCGCCTTGAGTAATTTTGTTGGAATAGCATTGTTAATTCAAGAGATGCATGTAATTAATTGAAAGATAATTATTTTTATTAGTACTCTAAATTATCAAACTAATATTAGGTGTGCACATTTAATTGAATAATTACGTATTCTGTGAATTGAAGAAAAGATTAGTCAACCTTAAGATGCCTTGACTATTGTGATTGTTGGAACATTTTAATGCATTTTTTAAATTTGAGTTTATTTTTAATGCCTAATTACTAATTATCTTGATTCTCTATGGCACTAAATATAAACATAAATTTCAATTATAATTTATATACACACATACATACTCCCTTCCATCCTAAATTATAAAATAATTTGAAATAAGATTGCACATATCAATAAAGTTCAATAATGACTAGGGGTGTTCACGGGATGGGACGAGACCGGGACACCCCCGTCCTATGTCCCATCCCAAAAAAAAGATCGGGACTGAATTTTGGCCCCGTGTCCTGTCCTGTCCCAAAAGTCGTCCTGTCCCGTTAAGAGTCGGGACGGGACCGGGACAAGATCGGGACGTCCTGTCGTCTCGATAAATAGAATAATGTCAAAAAAAATCTGGGCAATAACGTTCATTAAAATTTTAAATCATATAATTTGTTAAGTTTAAAATCAAAACAACACAAGCACATAAATAATAATAATTTAAAATTAGTTATTGAATTATATTAATCACAACTACATATTATAATAACAAATACAAGTGATCTTTATGCTATAAGATTAGCAACAACAGGTAAGTCAAGCACAACATCAAATCATTGTTCTTCTACTTTAATGAAGATGTACTAAGCTAATTACTCTTCTAAAAATAAGCAAGAAATATGTTATAAATAAAATTTATTAAATAGATAGATATAAGAATAAATTATATTAATATAATTAATATATTATAAAGAAAGATATCGCCATATTTACTTCATGCCATTAAAATTATCAATATAAAAAAACTTTAATTTTAAATAAGAATTGCAAGTATTAAAATTATAATTAATATAATTAATATAAGTATAAATTATACTAATATAATTAATATATTTAAAATAAAAAATAATATATATAATATTCAAGACGGGACGGGACGTCCCGATAGTAATCCCGTGTCCCATCTCGTCTCGAACTCCTTTCCTGTCCCGTCCCGTAAAGTCCCGTCTCGATTATTTTCGGGCCGGCACAAGACCCGTCCCGATATGATTGGGACGATACCGAGCCAATCGAGATGGATCCAGACTGAACACCCCTAATAATGACACCTTAAAAATTTACTTTTTTAAAACAAAAAATATAAGCTTTTAAAAATACCCTTCATTAAATATAATTTTAAACATACAATCATTTCAATTCACTCTCTACTTGAAAGGTAATATTAAAAAAGTATTATTAAGAAAACTTTATTTTTAATCAAATTTTCTTATATTTTGAAACAATGAAATACTTCCAAAGTGTTGTTATAATTTGATATTGGGGAGTATTAATTTAAGGGTTTTCATATCTATCATGAATAATTTTTAAAATAATTTATATTTCAGAAAATGCCCAAATGATAAATTATTATTAATTTATAATATTAAAAATTAAATATAAATGGTGAAAGCATAAGTCTAACATTTATCATTATAAAGGTTGTAAATTAGTCTATTTTTGGCTAATGTGATGAATGAAAAATAAAGAGTTAATATCAAACAATACTAGATGGTCAAATAAAAAAGGGAAAATCATATTTAAATTCCACCTAAACAAGTTAATCTCTAAGTATCCTAAATTTAAATAATTACCAAGAGGACCCTTTTTGACGCGTAAGAAAAAACAAAATTGTCCTGAAATGATAAAATAAGATGAAAACGATCATGTCGCCAGCACTTTATTTCCAATTCCAATTGCAACATCCGTCCACATGCAAGGTAGAAGTGAACGCATCTATGGCAAGCCATAAGTCTCATGATTGAATCCCTTTCACCAATCTCTTTTATTAAGTCAATGATTCAACAAGTTTTTTGTCTTGTTGTTCTTTTTGTTTTGGTTAGTGGTAAGACTCTTTCATTAGTTTTTCTTGCTTGATTTCGTTGGTAATAGCTAATATAATAAACAAAAATTTATTACAAAAATTTTTGCAGTGTTTATAAGATAACAAAATATGATAAATTATTGTATTCTATATAATAATAACTTTAAATTAATTCAAATAAAAAATTTTCATCATAAATAATCTCGTCACAAGTCTTGTAAAAAATTTTTAAAAAATGAGATAAACTAGTGAAAAAAATTAACACTCTTTCATTGGTTTTTCTTGCTTGATTTCATTGGTAATGGCTAATATAATAAACAAAAATTTATTGCAAAAATTTTTCTATAGTGTCGGCAAAACAACAAAATACTTTAAATTATTGTGTTCCATATAATAATAACTTTAAACTATTGAACTTAAAAATTTTTCATCATAAATAGTCTCGTCACAAGTTCTGTAAAAATATTTTTAGAAAAATGAGATAAATCAGTGAAAAAAATCAACTAAAAAAAAAAGAATACATGCAAAACTAATTTATGATATTACTTGCAAGTTGTATCAGAAATCACTTGTTAAATGACATCAAAACTAAATTTTATTCAATTATATGATGACAATAATGTTGCTTTACAAAAATGAATATATATTAATCTCTTATATGACTTCTAACTAAGTTTAGAATTATTACATTTTTATTAATAAAATATAGTTATTATTAAAAAATAATAAAATTATTTATAATATTCATAAAATTATTAAATTATAGAGTTATAAAATATCAAAAGGCAACAAAAAAATTATAAAAGTACTTACTAATATGCTCATTTCTAAACCAAATTGTATTTAAATCAAGTTGCTTTGATCTTCCTAAATAACAAATTTGAGCATTAAAACATT